AAATAAAACACACCTTAGTATCAATATTTTTTGTTTGAGTATCGATACTTTCGATACTCGCGGCAGTATCGATATATCGATACTTTGGATCGATACGCCCATCCCTACTCGGGAGGACAGTTTTAAAGAGATGTACACGGTGTTTTCGGTTGTAACACCTACCACACATTACATTTGAAATGTAAAACCTCGCCTCGGTGGCTCGTGCTTGCTGCTGCAGCAGGGGAAACGGCTCGAACAATCTGGCGAAGTGCTTGCACGTCGCCGGAAGAAGTTACATCCAATGAGGTGTGATGGTCTGAAAACACAGTTTTAGTATTAGAATAATTACATTAATGCGATTTAATTAATTAAGAAGCTTAATATATTAGGGTTTGTTCTGGTTTTTATGCCCTTTTTTAGGTGACGCATCTAGCGAGTGTTTGCTAACAGCCCCGTAAAAGCAAAACACGCTGTGTGAGTTGTATTTATGTTAAAGCATCTACTAAACAAACAAAAAAAACGGGTAAACATAAAACTAAAACATGTTTTTAAAATTTTTTTTGACAAGAAATTAACCCTTATGAAATGAACCATGGTTTTACTACAAATAAAACCAAAAAAACATGGTTACTACACTTTTACTATAATAAAACCATGGTGAGTTTTCGTAAGGGAATTTCGATTTACTCAACAAACTTGCTGTGTGTATTTTTTATTCATTATGATTTTTACTTCATGGCAATTTCAAGTACATTTTCTCCTAAATCCCATGCAAATGAAAAATCTCATTCATAACTGTAAAACAGAACAGACGGTCAAAAACGAGACGTCCCATTTTGGTGTCCCCTTCAAATTAAATTAGAGAAGTGAATTTATATACATAGAAAGCATATTAAATGGGAGTAAATTGTGTTCTTTAATGTTCACAATGTTTTCTTTGTGAAATTAAAATGTCAAAATATGGGTGAAATAATGTTCCATCATCTTTCAACATAATGCATATATAGGTGTAAAAATTAAGCAACATATTTATTCTGGCCTGAACTTATTAAAACATACAAAGAATTAGCAGTCATACTAAAAATATATTTTTTTAATTATTAAAGGGGTTATATGATGCTGCTAAAAAGAACATTATTTGGTGTAATGAAATGTGTTTATGCGGTTTAAGGTTA